AGGGGTGCTACATCAAATCCATGAATCATCACTACAGATAGAAACTGTCTTGTGCTGGAATCACTGTAAACAGTGCAGGATATGAAACTTCTTATTCATTTATTTGCATTACATATATGGATTAATGGAAAAGCATTATGGAAAGCTGTTATTTATTTTATGAGGCAACTGCTTTCAAAGCCAGTAAATTAAACATCTTAACATCTTTTTCCTGTTTTTTAATCAGTCAGCACCCATCGCTCCAAGATAGGATATTCAAAGAAACTTCAGAGTTTTTCTCCTAGAGGTTTCTTCTGATGCCATGCATGGATTAGTTTAGACATGGAAGGTCCCATTTTATTTTTTCCTCCTCTTCAAGATCTCTCTCCGCCTCTTAAAGATCCTCTCAAAGAAGCCAGTGGAAGACACAGCTGCAAAACCATAGCTTATAACCATGATAAACTTATAAATAGTTGTGTTTTACTGACTCCAATTTTCAGACAGAAACTCTTTCAAGTTTGGTACTGGAGCAATACACACAGTCTTTTTAGAATTTATTTTTAATGAGGAAACTTCATTTGAGTATTAAAGAGGACCAGAAAATATAATTTTATTTTGGTTCTGTGAGAAATTCTGGAATTAAACCCATGATAGAGTAATGTCTCTAAGTGAGTGACCACCAGTGACCGAAGCATACACAATACCTGCATGAAAAAAACTACCAACGCTTTTCAATCCATGGCCAGCTACCCCAAAACAAGTCTAATCTATGGAGCTCATTTCAGTTAGTGAGGAGGACCTGTGAGCAGGCTGCCTCACTGAACTCCAGGCACTGCCTCCACTGGGACTGCAAGAACTGCTGCAACACCTCCCCTCTTAGGGGTAATCTTTGACACTTTGCTTTGTGACCAGAAACAGGAAAACATGGAAAAATGCAAAACTCTAAAATCAGCATCACTGATAAAAATAAATCACCATTTTTCACAAAGCCTTGGTTGGCACAGAGGATGATGACAGAGATGAAGAAGGTGTATTTTACTGAACAGCTTTGCAATCTCAGGCTCAAAATCCTGCAGCTCCCTAAAGCATGTGACTGATTCTCTGTGTTACATTTGCCACCTCAGCCTCTCAGTAAAACTGCTTCATGTGGATTAAAGTGAGGAAACATGAATTGTCACTGACCTCACAGACACAGCCTGTGAACACTGGGCTTCAGTATTCCCTGCCATCTCTTATTTTAGGTATGAAGAACAGGATTTCAACTCAGAATAAGAGGAAGCCAGTGGTAAAACCTATTGCACGTGCACCTCCTGCACACAATCCCCACCAACAATCCCAGGGTGCCTTTGGAGTATGGTGGGAATTCAGACACGCGATTTTGATTAATGTTAATGCAAGTCGTGTGGCCAAATCCCTGTACACTACTTTGAGAGCTTATTCTAAAATTGAAATATAATTAAGGTTGCAACACAAACCAAATAAGGCAGGGAAATGACACTTCATTAGTAACCTATTGGGTGCAAGCACCATAGGTAACCTGTTGCCTCAGTACTATAATAAAATGTTTAAAGTGTTTATATACCACCACTGTCAGCTGCTTATGAAAATATGGTAAAGACATCCAGACACTATTAAAAAAAAAGATTAGCTTCTGCAACTATATAAATTACCTCTATAGATTATTTAGTTGTGGTACTGTATCTCAAGATTTTGCATACTCTTCCTAGTGACACTTGGAGACCGGCACATTTGTTCTCTTTCTAAATTTATACTGAAGACCAACCATGCATAATACAAATGACTGTCAATAGAGGAGCTGAAGAGCTGAAGGGAGTAGGATTTCATATGAGTCTGTTTAGCCAAGGTCATAGGTAACAGAAAAAGGATCTAAATATTGTTTTCAGTTTTCCCCCTTGCACAAATCTGTATTCTAGATCCTTATAACTGTGATTACCAAATTTGAACTCTAGAGCAAGAAAGGGTGCCATGCATAGTCTTTTGTCCCTAGCACTGCTTTTGCAGATGCCTAAAGTGGCATTTCTGTGATCACACTCTTATTCTTGCCCCACAGAAAACTGCCAAGTTAGTTTTGGTTTGGGTCTTTTGGTTTTGTGGTTCCTTTTGCTATTATTATTATTATTATTATTATTATTATTATTATTATTATTATTATTATTATTATCATCATTAATATTAGCAATAACACTATTATTCCTGTGGACTGTGGGCTAAGGTTTTTCGTCCTTTTCCCGTCACGTAAAAGCCAGTGGAAAGAGGAGTTCTCTGAACTCTCTCATGGAGGTAACAGTAACCTTTTTACTAAAGCTCAGTAGAAGATATTAAAGAAACTAATGGCTACAAATTATAATCCGCAAGAACCTCCTTTTACAGTCTTTTCAGAGTAGAAAGAATGGGGTGGTTTTGTGTGTTTATATGTGTGCATGAACAAGGCAGGGGAAAGAGAGGAAGTGACAACTGATAGCAGCAATATTCTGCTGTGCTTTACAGAGCATGGAGATCTCACAGCAGCAAGCAGACCATGGTTTTGAGACCAAGCAACTTTCCTTATTATTACTGAAAGCAAATTAAATTAAAGACACAAAATACCATTCAGTCCTTCATGTAAGATTTAGGATTACTATTTTAAACCTCAAGTATTTTGTGCTGGCATTCTGGACACATGTAATATTGTTGATAGCACCAAATTCAAAGCTTTTAACATACGTACTACAAAACAAAATCTGAGAAATGGAACTGCTGCTTAATGGAAAAATATTAGGGCAGTAAATGTTAATCTTTATTACACATCTATTAATTATACTCCTTGCCATACTTTTACCAAGCTCAGAAGAGAGGACTTCTAAGACAAATTTGACTTGAAGTCTGTAATATTACTTTATAGGCACTCAGGTAGACTCACATAAAATGTCCAAGTAAAATGATCTAAATTACAATTAATTTTTTTTTCCTTTAAAAACTCATTGAGTGTGTCTTATATAGATAGGCTTTTCTAAAACATTATGGTCTCTTTAAAAATGGATTTGAGGTACACTGTCTTTTGACATAGTGCTAGAAGCAGGAGTGTGTAAACAGCTCAGAGGATGTAATTTTTTCTCTCCAACATAAAAAGATGTGTGAAGTTACTATGGCTCTTCAAAAAGGCCTAGTAATTGAGCCTGGTTATGGTCTCATTAATGTGCAAGTTTCATTTATCACCTTCTTTCTTTGAGGATTATATGCATTGATTCATCAAGACTTGTGACACATGGTTTTCATTTGCTCTATTCAGTGCTTCTCTTAAAATCAGTTTGTACTAGATTGTAAGAAAAAGTCTGAAAGTAAATCACACTAGCCTCCTGAAAACAGAAATGAGAAAATTTCAGCTTAAAAAAAATTACTATTAAATGCACTTTTATTCTCTTTTCATGCTCTTTACAATGTTTTTTTTCAAGTATGCTTAATAACATGTTTGCTGGAGTTAGTAATAACATAAAAAGAACAAACAAAACAATGCACACTGAACAGGGGAGATGTTGTTGTCTAGTAAGCCCACTATGACAAAAAGCAATTGATTTTACTTCATGTAAATGCAAGCGACAAGAATAAAACAGGCAAGGTCTTTTCCTGCTTATCTACAATATCCATGGTAAGTTGTACAGTTTTTATAATGAGATGTCCTCATATAAATTTCCTTCTGCCTTCTTTCTTTACTTTGCTTTTCTAAAATATGTATCACTTCAAGTATTTCCATTCTGCGTGTCACTGGCAAATGCCAAAAATAGAGAAAGAGAGATCTGATAAAGATAAAGCATGACAAAAGTTTCACGGATAATTGCCTTCACATATCCAGTTCAGCTCTCATCTCTCCTAATTAGCCTCATTACCATACCTTAAGACAGACCAGCAGTCACTCAAACTCCCTGTTTTTAATGTCAAAACTATTGCTGACAGGCAAATGGACAACACATGCACTGAGTGAGTCTATTCTAGACTATTCTTTTACAAGACTAGCCTGCAGCAGAAAATACTAAACAATAGGTCTTCTATAAATGTATAATGAAAGTATACATACAGTGTGTGAATACTCAATAAATTATTGTTCTATTCATTGCTCCATCATCTCTTAAAATGAGGACAATAAAAAAAGAAAAATCATTCTCTAGAATATCAAAGAGATCAAACCACTGCAGTACTTCACTATTATTGATACAGACTTTTAGAACAGCCTTGCCACAGTGACTGAAAAAAAAATCACTTGAGTTCTGTAAAGTTTGACTGTGTCGGTACAGCACTGCTTTCAGCATACTCACGTTATCGCAGGAAGCTTTTTTGTTTTTACAAATCATGTTAAAATGAAAAAGCTTCATCCCATTGCTCATATTCATTTAAAATTAGCTCATAAAAAGTATCCACAAATAGTTCACAGAGGCACTAGAAATATTGTAATATTAAACTCCACTGACTATCAAAACATTAAACTGTATAATGGGAAGGCATTGAAATCCTTCACAATGTCCATTTCTTTTTCACTGTTGTTTTAGTCCCACATTACATTATGTATGGAGTTTACATACATGGTACTTTGTTTCATTTTCTCTATTTCTCTATAAATATATTTCTGTCTAACAAACATCTAACAATTTTATATGTTTTTCTACTACAACCTCCTGGTAAAAGGTGCCATTTTTTAGTTACTTGTCGTATTTCCATGTTCACAGTGCCATTAATAAAATAAAAATACTGTTTTATAATTTTCATAACAAAAATTTAACACTTGCAATATCACTTATTTAAGAACTGGACATTACACATTTACTGGCCTCTTTCCTCCCTAGCTCCTCAAACACAATTCTCTTTGTGATATTTTTTTTTTTTTTACAGTTGTAATACAATCTCTACAGCAAAAAAAAAAAAAAAAAACCAAAAAAAAAACAAAAACAATAAAACTCCCCAAAAAAACAACAAAACAAAACAGGACAAAAAAAAACCCCAGTGAAACGGACTTTCTGCACTTTGCATTTTGGGAAAGCTAACAGTCCATTCAGCATGACTGAAAAATACCCTGAAGGCTAATATTTACTAAGCATGGCACACACACAGGAGCCTTGCTAAAAATCCACAACAAATCTCTCATTGCAAACAAATCCAGAGGCTTGAGAGCCGCTGCAACTGT